GTTTCTCTTGTTCCACTCCTTCAGACGTTTATCTCATTGTCATCTCCGTGAAGTAGAACTCTGTCCCCAGCTCCAGGTGGCCCAACCAAATGCAGAACCTCAGGGAATGTCCACACCACATCCCCTCCCATGAACACAAGGCAGGAGCAGGTTAATCTGGAGACACATCTTAAAAGGTCAATAATGTGTGAAAACTGAGATTTAAACCTGCACTTTATTTATTTGTGTTCCTCACTGTTCAGAGGATAGTGAGAAGAAGAGAGCAGAAAATTGTATTTTATAGTGCCAGTTGTCAGAATTTATAACCAAATTCTTGTTTAAAACACTGGAAAGATGATTAAAAAAATAATAAATGGCAGATGGTGTCATTCTACTAGATATTGTTTGCTGTTGCCTGTTGCTTTAGAGGGGCTCAAAATGAAATTTAACAGTTATTGTGCAAGGACTTCAATTTACTGCCTTTCTTGCTAATGAGCAACACTAATTATCAAACTCATCAATCCCCTTGAATCCCAAAGAGTGTCTTCGGTGGGGATGCAGGGAGGAAGGCCTTGATCATGTCTGGGAACTCTGTGAAGCAATTCAAACTTCATGGTCATATTCACTCTCACGGTTGCTCAGTAGTCAAGTCTTAAACTCCTGCCTTGATTTTTATTTAAAAATGGTTCTGACCTGAAAGGAAAACAACATTAATGTGAAGGTCTTGTAAAAAAATGCAATTAAGAATGTTTGCAACCAGATTATCAAAGGTACCACAGTCATCTCCTCCAGTGCCACCTGCTACTCTCAAAGAAATGAAGAGCTCTTGCTGATGGATTCTGTATACTCTGAATATAGTTTTATTAAAATGGTCAGTTAAAAAGGTGAGAGCTGGGGCTACTCATAAAGAAGAACACAAATCTGTATCTTCTTATATGACTAATAAGTTGGAAAAAGACTTGGAAAGAATTCACAGAGCAATGAAGCCCGTTCAAGGATCTCTGGTTAATTGTGTTTTAAGATGTCCCCAGTTCTCAGCTGCATGGTCCATTTGCTGAATTTATTAAAATGACACATCTATTTGGAATCCTCTGATGAGAACCTAATTAAATTTTTTGCCTCACTTGTTGGTGATCCCAATGTTGTTCCTTCTAATAAGAGTTGATTCCATTTATCATTAATGTCAGCATTTACAGTTCCATCAATTTTTTAAGAACATTTGGTCCGATTTATAATGTGTTCTGTGCGCCAACAGCAGAAGGGCTGGTGTCGTTTTTGGGAGGTTGGTTTCTCCCTCCCTTATATCACATTAACATTCATTAACACTCACTTTCTCTGCTGTTGGAAGTAGGTATTTTTTAAAAGATAACAGCATGACTGAGGGCCTGTCCCTGTGTTTCTCAGCATGAATTTAGGCAAGCAAGCCCTCAGGTTGTTTTTTCTTGGATGACCAGTCATTTTCATTAAAAATGTACTGCTCTGTAGAGCCAGGAAGGAATTCACATTCTTTTTCCTGAAAGATCAGGTGATGAGCCTTGAAGAGTCTTTCTGGTTCTTCAGGAGCAAATAAAATCCTTGCAGAAATCAATCTGTTTGCAAAGAGCAATGACATTTGCACTTTTAGGCCTTTAACTATTGCAGTGCTCTCTGAGTTTTTCTAATTTTCTTCTGGCTCTACAGAACACTTTTTCAAGTGAACATGTTTTGAAGAGAGGATTTGACTGAGGTTCAGCCTCTTACAGTCGAACTGAAACAGGCACCTTCTGTATGACAAAAAACTTCTGGTTTAAAGCAGTTGGCAAACTAAAGGAATTGCTGTTCTGCTGTTGAGCAGCCTCTTGGGAAGCAAATGAATGGTCCTTGGTTATTGTCACTGGGATGTGTCACATCAGAGCTCAGACCACGGGGACACTTCAGCACACACGGGATTCACACGTGGGGTGTGGATGCCTGCAAACCAGCAGGAAGCCTCATATCTTTAAGTTAGGCTCTTTTTCCTCTGTCTTTTAATTTTCCAAAACTACAGTGTCTGTCCTGGATATCCTTGGCTTCCTGACTTCTTGAAGAGCGTGTGAAAATAATCAAACAAATAAAAGCTTTCCGGAAACCTTCCTGTTTCTACCCCAGTGGACAGAGAGCAGCTGAGTTCAGTGATTTTCTCCACTGTTGGGGTTAAAATACGTAAATCTTCCCTACTATGCTTTAAGGGCACAGGGATCTGGTCTTCAAAAGCAAACACTTCTGCAACAGAAATAAGCGAAATCAGAAACTTTTATTCATTGGGAAAATCCTGTTCTCAGAGAAGGAGATATTGGACTGAGGAGGAATGATATAAGCAAAAACAGATGTGTCCTGCAGGTGGATTATTATGAGCCCAAGCAGCTGGAGATGTCAGCTGGCAGGACACCAGACAGGTGTTTGTCACCAACCCACCTGAGCTGAGGATGCTCCTCATGCCACGGGAATTTGGCTGAGGAATTTGGACGATTTCTCCACTTGACACCCTCATGAAACAGAAAACTGTGCTGCAACTTGGGACACCCTCTGCTGAGCACAACCAGACTGTGCAGCACAAGGGTCTGTGATCTAAACTCTTCAGGGAATTCAGGTGGGAAGGATGAGATCCTTTGACACAAAAGGGTCACGGGTCTTCCAACCACACTTGTCATATGAACAGCTACAGTTCTGAGATTGGAGAAACACTGAACTCCATCACTTCCTCCAGCTGCAATTTCAAACAGGATTGAATCTCTTGGGCAAGGATTGTATATTGTACAGCTTTGTAAACTGCAGAAATTTTTATATCTGTAGCTAACTACAAGAACTCCATAAATAAAAATGTCAGATCCTTAGCAAAACAACACAAAAGAGCAGCTTCTGTTAATACATGCACATTTTTCAGACAGAAAATTCCTCTTTAAACTTTCTGATTTCAGAGTGTTTATAAGCAGTAAGGTTTCTGCTCCCATTCTTTATTTTCCTAATGACCTAATTTCATTAACTCTACATCAGAGTTGGAGAAAAAAATCTCAATGAGCTTTAGGTCTTTTCAAAACACAGTAAGGTTTAAAAGCTCAGGAAATGATTTGTGTATCCAATTAATTTTCTTAACTGTAAACAAAGCCTCAGTGTCTTGTGCAATAACCACATTTCCAGCAGCATGAGGCTCATTAGAGCCCTAACATCTGAACCCCTACATTAAAGGTCCCTGGATCATTAATCTGAGCAGTGCTGCTCCTCTCAGTCTGTGCCCACTAGAAGGCACCATCTGCTAGAAAGTTGTAATCGTGAGGAAAATGGAAGAGCTGCATTAAATAATTCCATGTGAACACCTCCAGGAAAACTGCAGACTCAGGTGCAGCATTAGAGAGGCTGGAGAGTGTCTCTGACTGTGGCTACAGGTGTTTCACACCCAAAGCATATGAAATCAACATTATTTTCCTTTGGAAGGCAGTGTGAAATATTTTTACAGTATGAAGGAGTGAATTTCATGAGCTCTCACATTTGGAGGAAGAGCCAGTGAGTGACTTCAGCACTCCCCCAGGGTTTGGGAGATAGGAGGGTTAAGTCTCTTACCTATTTCCATAGTTTTTTCTGGCAAACCAATTCCCTGTGGCTCAGCCAGCTAAGGAAGGAAAACAACAGTGCTTTACTGGGAGTGCTGAGAAAGTCTAGAAGAGAGGTAACACCATTTGCACAAATGTTCCCTGCCAAAAACAGTCTGCAAGAACTGCAGGATGGAGTCCAAGTGATTCCTCTGTCCCACAGCAGCAGCAGGCAGTGGTACCTGCCAGGATCACCTGGTTGGATTCGCTTTGGGCAGAGGAAGATTCCAGAACTCACTCCTGCAGACAGTGAGTGTCACAGCTCAGCGTGTCTCTGGCCTATAACCAGCTCATTTAGTGCCTGAACCAGATGCTGTGAGCTGGGAGCTGTGTGTGCAGTCTTATTTACTGTACATTGTCTTTAGTGCAGAGATTAAATGAAAAATCCTCTTTAGGATATCATAATTCTGGATCATTTATCAGTGGGTCTGTTTCAAAACATCCATTTATTATAACACCATTCCTCTGTACTGAAAGAGTATCATTCCTGCCATAAAGGCAGGAACTAAAACACCAGAAGAGATGAAAGAGCAGTTTCAAATTTATTGGTGTTGCCCAGTGTAAAATACACAGCCCACACATCTGTGATCTTCAACTTATTTCTGGGTTCTCTGGTCTTAATTCAAAAACAACACTGCTATTAAAGACTGGCTGTGAAATCTGTGGCTGAGACTTGCATGGTGTCCCTCTTAATTCCTGTCACAGAAAAACACTGATTTTATTTGCTGTTCCTAATGTAGAGCTCTTGTGAAAGAGCAGCTACACTTTGTAGTTACCTAAAGAGAGTTTTGAAACAATGGCTCTTTCCTCAGGAAGAGCTGAAATGGAGCTCTGGAGAGTCAGAGGGGAAGAGAAGCAGGGGTTGAAGAGGATGGTGGTGATGGAAATCCAGAGTAGGTAGAGGTGAGAGCAGTTAAAATCAGTGAAGTGTTAAATTTATGAGGGGAAAAAATCCCTACTGAAATACAATTAGAATCTTTCCAGTGACTGGGAGAACCCAGCTTCCTCCTAAAGCTGAAATAAGTTTCCAGTAAGTTATTCTGACACAGTAAACTCCAGGAAAGCAGAGCTACTGCTGCTGCATAGGGGAGAGTGCAGGCAAATTCAGGAATGACCATCTCTGCCCCAGGAGGAACATGGGCACATGAGAATTTATAGCTGTATAAACATCATACAAAATGGTCCCCCAATTTAATACACCTTTGGTCTGTGTTCTAATTACCTACTAACATCCAGGTCTGACAGGGCATGAATCATCACCCATTCATTACACAGAGCACACCTGTAATTCTAAACTATATTCTCTGAGCAGCAGCTGTGTCAGAGCCTTTCTATAACTTAGAACTAAATATAATCTCACATGGAACAATATACTTAAGCTAGATGATGCTTTAATATACATGACCTGACTACTGGTTACCACACAACAGTTTATTAGATTTTTCAATGACATTACAAAGAACCTAAGGCTGGTATTACAAGGTATATTGATACATTTCTTATGTTCACAAAATTTCCCTGTTATTATGACCTTTTATTACAATTTCCCCTCAGTTTGGAAAAATGACCTGTCATTTTGCCCTCACAGCACAGAGGTGCTAATTTGGTGGCATTAAAAGAGCAATTTAAGTGTGGCCCACATGCAACTGCTGACTGCCACCACTGCTTGACGAAATTTGGGGTTGAAGCTGGAGGAGCAATGCAATGATTGTCAGGAATGGCTGACATGGGTCATTTTTCTTCACAAGTGACACAGTACAGACTCCCCCAAATACACTTCTCATTGCCCAAACACTCTAATGTAACCCATTAAACTGCAGGCCCATAAATGTGGATACGATAGAAAAGCAAACACTTCTCCAAATCAAGTTTTTTGAAGAGAAGCAAGGCTTTAAAAATCTAACTGGATTCTCTCCTTTTTGTCCAATATATAACTGCTTTGCTACTGAACTGTTTTGTCCAAGGAGCCAGTGATTTAAACTGAAAGCCCACGTGCAGACACTCTAAAAACACTGTCCTGTTCTGTCCAGCATCACCATTTCGATCACAGTTACTGTTCAAAGGTGATGCCAAAGGGCACAGGGACAAAGTGGAGTGTTAAAAAACTTCAATCCCATAGTGAGATTGTTCATAGTTAAGAGTTCCTTGTCTGCCCAGATGTCCCAGATGTGAGTGGCAGTGGTTGCTCAGCTGTGCACAGATGGTAAATCCGTATTTCTGGTTTATGTTCCAGGAACACACAGCTCAGGTAATACCAGGAGTAGGAGAGATGATTTTGATGTTCAGTGGCTCGTGTTTCCAGAACCACCTTATTACAGGTATGAAAAACCAACACATAAACCCCAACTAGTGAGTGCTTGATGCTTAGAACTAAGACTTATGCTAAGTTTCAATCTTGTGCTTCACTCCACAAAGTCACACAGGACAAGGCAAGGTTCCCATTTCATGAGAGTCACTAAATGCTGAGCTATCAAACATGAAACATTTAGAAAAGTACAGGAAAGAGAAAAAAGTGACTTCACAAAAAAATGCACCCAGTAGTTGAGATCCATAAGATCTGTGTTTTAATAACACAACCAATTGATCCTCATAACAAGAATTCAAAAAGTGAAATTACAGTACACAAATCAAAATATAAACTACCCTACCCCAACTATACAATGTACATTAGGAATGCAAGCTCTGTAACAATATAAAAATGCTTTTACACACAGGAGTTGCAAAAAGCCATTCTGTAATTCCAAGGATTTGTAGAAAAAAGAAAAAGTCAACTTCCAAGATTCATCTTGAGGCATTGGCAACCTGTTGGGGAAAAATAATAAGAAAATAGATTACTGAGAATTAAAGAGAATCATGCTCATCAAAAGTTTTCATTTGGGGAGTTCAGGCCAAGGGAAATGACACTGAGGGCAATGAAGCCCGTAAGAATGTGAGGTTTTTGGTACTTTTGTCAAAGTAACACAAAAAATAAGTATCTTAATGAGCCAGAATACATCTGTTCCAAACACTATACAGACTGCAGAGAATGCAAGACATGACCTCAGAATCTCAAGCTTAAGAAAGGCTGAGACATGTCTGTCTTAGTCACCCTTTAACATGAAACATGTTTTATTTGCCAGTTGCCTTCCATGGATTGCAGAAATCAAGCTCTGAACAAACTGAAGTGAAATCTCAGTGCTCAGACACCATAGTTAAGCACACCTCCCCCTTGTTTATGCTGTAACAGTTCTGGTACCTGCACTGCCTCATCTCCTCAAATGCCTTCAGCAATTTTAAATGCTGTGTCTTGTGCTGCCTCGTCACCTGAACTTATCTACATGTTTTTGGACTGGATTTTGAGCTGCCAGGAGGATGAAACATCTACTTCTCCAATGTTTCTGTAATACAGGGGCAGGTTATCAATTAAGAAATTACATAATAATATATAATATCGCATTTTCCTTTCAGTAAGAAATTTCTTTCTCCAGGGAATGTTGCCCTAGGACCCATTTTGCCTCATCCCTGAGTGTTCTCTTGCACTGCCCCGTGTGAGTCACTACCCTCGGCAAGCTCCTCGCTTACACACAGGAGGAATTTACAGCCCCTGTGACTCCAACACCTCCCTGGGCAGCCCCTTCCAAAGCCTGACCACCTTTTCCATGAGGAAATTCCTCCTGATGTCCAATCTGAACTTCCCCTGGCACAGCTGGAGGCCGTTTCCTCTCATCCTGTCCCTTGTTCCCTGGGAGCAGAGCCCAAACCCCCCCCCACCCAGCTCCCCCCTCCTGTCAGGGAGCTGTACAGAGAAAGAAGGTCCCCCCTGAGCCTCCTTTTCTCCTTTTCCCCCATCTCCCTCAGCTGTTCTCCAGACACACCTTCAGCTCCACTGCCCCTCCCTGGACACTGTATTCACAATTCTCTAATTCTGCTCTGCACAAACCCCACCTCACAAACCAAAGGAAAAAGTTCCATCTGTCAAAGGCAGTAATTTCAAGGGTTTGTCTCAAGGCCAACCAGGGCCTGTCTCACTTTAGCTCTTGTTGGGGGCTGGGGTCTTGTTCTCCCCCTCCAGCTCCTCCACCCCAGCCTGTGTCATGAGGTCAGCGATGTTCTTCTCCAGGTCATCGATGCGACAGCTCATGTCATCGAGGGCACAGGGGTCAAGGAAACGACACCATTCCAGCCCTGCTCGGGCTTGTTTGCTTTTAGTAGCACAGCTCTGCTCAAATTTTTACGCTCACTTTAAATTTATCTCACGAATCCCACCAGCAAACAGACCCTATGATATTTACTGCATAGCACCCGAGTTCAAAAAAAGGATATTTCTTCCGATGATTTGGTCAGACATGGTCTGAAATTTGTCCTGCATTTGCTGCAGCAGTGTCTGCACCTGATAGAAAGGGAGAAAAGAAACGTTTTGCTTTCATTAGAGGCTGTTGCATTATCTAATCTCATGTAACGAGGTAACTACAATGTTCTTTCATTGCTGAGCACCAGCGTGCCCAAACTCTGCAGTGTAATTATATATATATGTAAAAATAGTACTTAAATATATATATATTTACATAAATATATATACATATATATATATACACACAGAGGACAACTGAGGCTTACAGTAAACATTAGAGTAAATTGGCTGAGCACTGAACAGGCTCCCCACGGCAGTGGTCACAGCACCAAGCCTGTGAGTTCGAGCAGCATTTGGACAACGCTCTGAGGCACAGATTCCTGGGGTGTCCAGTGCAGGGCCAGGAGTTGGACTCGATGATCCTTGTGGGTCCCTTCCAACTCTGAATATCCTATGATTTGTAAGACCTAAAAAAACGCCCGTGTTTCACAACCAGGGCTAAACCCACAACGGCTGTTTCCGCATCTTGTTAATCCCACAGAGGCCGGTTTTTTTTTCGGTACCACAGAACCCTGGAATGGCTTGGGACGAAGGGACCTTAAAGCCCAGCCCGTCCCAACCCCATGCCACGGCCAGGGGCACCTTCCCTAGATCAGGGTGCTCCCGTCCAACCTCCCCGTCCCGGACCACTGCTCTCCCCGGCGCCCCCGGCCGCTGTCCCGTCCCCCCGCGGCGCGGTCCCTCACCACGGCCGTCAGGTCCTGGACGCTCTTGGGGTCGGTCTCGGCCATGGTCGCTGCGCTCCGGCTGCGCCTCTTCCGGGCCGCGCCCGCCGCTTCCGCCGCCTCTCGCGAGAGCCGCGGCGCGCGGGGCACTCTGGGAGTTGTAGTTCCTCGCCCTCGGGTGTTCCACCGCTCCGGCACTACAAAGCTTTTCGGTCTTTGTACCTTTCAGCAGCGTTGGTGTTCATTGCCCACAAGTCACATGTTTCCCTCGTTAATTAGAATTCTATCTTCTATTGCTTAGTGGTTCTCTCTCCGCATGCTGATTGGTGCCATGCTCAGTCTTCCTCCTCTTTCTTGGGTTTCTTGGGTCTGTGGTCACGATCTCCCCCTCCCAGAATCACCTGTTGCCCAGTCGGAGCTGATTCAGCACAGTCACTCAATTATCTTTATTAGTTTTCTTCCTTATCTTGAGAGTTCTGCCAAATGTCCCTGTGGCCCCTTAAATTCTGCATCCTCTGTGCCCGCTATCAGTGTTACATCCTTGTCCCCAAACTCCCACTCCCTCCACCCCAGGTCTGAGGTCACTGGAGGATGTCCAGCCCTAAATATCAACATGTTCTGCCAACAAGTAATTTGTCTTTTTAACACCTGGACATCACTTAGTGCTTTTTAGATCTACCTGTTTCACGGATTAAATCTCCTTCCTTCTTGTTGGCTAGGCTTGAAAGCACACAAAGATCAGACATCAAAGAACATCCTTTCTTAAGAAAAATTTCACAGATTCCACATTTTGCAGCTCCGGACTCTGCTGGGCCCCTGGCCCCCCTGGGTGTTCACCCAGTCTGAGGGACAAACTAAGCCCTGTGTGGGGAGGGATGGCTTCAAAACAGCTCTTTTTACCCCAGAACATTGAGCCTACATGTAATTTCACGCTGAGAACAAAAGCTCCCCTCACACAGTGGTTCAACAGTCCTACTCGTGCTCCTAAACAATGACTTTGTGAGTTAGGGAATTACAGATGTGTTTGTACAGCCTGAGGATATGTATGGGTGTGTTTTCATAGACTGTCTGCTGAGCATTGCTCTGTGGTGGGTTAATTCGGAAGGAATGAGCAGCTCAGCCCGGCAGCACACACTGCAGGGGCTCCAGAGGGGCCCCCTGGGAATATATTATTGTGGCAAATACTGTGTCCTGTCCTGGGCTTCTCGGTTCAAGAAAGACAAGGAGCTACTGAAGAGGGTCCAGCAGAGGCCCCAAAGATGATGAGGGATCTGGAGCATCTCTCTCATGAGGAGAGACTGCAGGAGCTGAGCCTGGTTAGTCTGGAGAACAGAAGTCTGAGAGGGGATCTCAGCAATCTGCACAAATATTTCCAAGGCAGGTGCCAAGATGATGGTGCCAGACTCCTTTTGGTGTGTGCAGTGACAGGATGAGGAGCAATGGCCATAAACTAAAAGACAAGAAGTTCCACCTCAACACGAGGAAGAACTTGTTTGCATTGAAGGTTGCAGAGCACGGGGACAATTGCCCAGGCAGGGCATGGAGTCTCCCTCTCTGGAGACATTCCAAACCCACCTGGACACATTCCTGTGTCACCTGCTCCAGGGTGACACTGCCTTGGCAGGGTTGGACTGGGTGATCTCCAGAGGTCCCTTCCAACCCCTACTATTCTGTGATTCAGATTAAATCCATGCCCACCCCAGATTAGTGACATACTCATTAAGATACCATAAAGCTCCACAGGATGGATTTGGGGATGGACACAGGATTAGTGCTCCCTAAGTGTCATGTTATAGGGGTTTTAGACCCAAACTGCTCATTTGTAGATTTTGTTTGTGAAGTGAGCCCATGTTTGCACTCCTTGGTTATTGTGGACCCAGATAAGATCTGAAGTTAACAGCCACATTGAATATGAATCTGTAAATGGAGAATGTTTAACAACCACATTGAATACGAGCCTGTAAATGAGGAGTGTTTCCCCCTCACAGCAGGTGGTTCTCAAATGTCTCCTTTCCCCTGGAAGATGACACGATGTGCTGACACACTCTGCCTCATCCCACAGCCAGGAACAAACCTGAGCTGCAGGGTGTTTGCATTATTGATGTGCCTTTTGGAGCACTGTAGGAGTAATAAAAAAACCTATTTAGTGCCAGTTTGGGGGAATTTTGTTGTCTTTTTAAAAGTAAATATGGCTTCTGGTACTGAAAAATGCTGAGAAATTGTCTCCCATTCGTTTGGTTTATGTATTTAGGAAAGGTGGTTGTTTTCAGAACTGTTATTTGGAATCAGATAAACTTGTTGTGAAAAGTCCCTTTGAACAGACCCAGACCTGGTCCCTTGGTGCTAATGAGACATTAGTGATGTGACCTCACCCCTTCGTTCCAGACTGTCACCAGTCGTGGCAGGTTTGGATACATCTGGTCCCTCTTTTAGCTCAAACCTCCTAATTCCATGTTCCATTTTAGGGTCTGGACAAGCCCTAGATACTTTTGACATATAACTCAAAACAGGAGCCCACTAACCAGTCCTTGTTATGCAGGAGTCAGATCTGACTGATAAAATGATTCCTCAGGCCATTAAGGTTTTTAATAAGTGTTAAATGGCTTCACACTTGTTCTCATAACTACAAATCTTTTTTTGTGTTAAGATAAAATATTTTTGTTATTTGTTTGCTTTCTAGTGTGATATGGTTAAAAAATGAGTGACATTTTGCAGAGTTTTGTCTCCTTTTTGAGGCTGCACTGAAAGAAAATGCTATGCAAGGAGGACTGGTGGGATTAATGACCCTTTCACAGTTCTGTTTGGAGATTACTCAAATAAATGGAGCTGCAGAAGGCTGAATTCCCTTGCTGGCTTTTTACTGACAAAGTCTTAATTTAAAGTATACAGGGGACGAGGACTTGTACAATTTACAAAGAGCCTGTTGTTTTCCTTAAAATCAAGGGAAATGTAGGAAGATAAATTTAAAAACAGTTAATGAAACTCCTTTAAAATTCAGGGATATGCAGTCCCAATGCAGAACAGTTGGACCTCCTACAGCAGCGGGTTGTGTCAGGTTTTGGACAAAAGCAGCACATTTTCAGTATTCCAGAGAACTCAGAATGAACTTTGACTTTGAGAACCATGGTAGGGATTTCTGGTACTGGTGTCTTTAGTTCTAATCCAGTTCCTGTGTCCTTTGGTGAAGAAGGATTAGAGCTCAACAACTTGAAAAAAAAAAGACTATTAATTTAAGAGCTTACTTTTTGTGCCAGTTGATGCCCAAATCACTTTAAGTAGTTAATGCTGTAGAATTAATTCTACATTTGTTGTCAGGCCTTCTTTCCAGTAATCATGACCCAGGGATTGGGTGACATCCACTGAAATCTAAGTTCAAAAAGGCACAATAAAATTTCCCAAAGGTGGGTTTTGCAAAGACAATTTTTTTTTGCAAAGAGTCCATTTTTAGCAAAACCACTTCTGTTGATTCTGTACTGGCCTCAGAGATCTGTGGGCCTGTATTTATGTCTTTTTTTAATAGCAGTTCTACCAGAGGACTTTATTCCTGGTGGAATTCTAGTGCATTAGCTCACTAGTAACAGTTAGAAAAGATGAAATTATTATATCTGTGTACTGTGTGAGGCAATAAATAGCAACTATACTTTAATTGCTTTGACTATCAGATCTTATTTGTGCTCCCTGATGACTTTCAGATAATTGTGGTTGTTTTCATACAGAGATTGTTCTCTCAAACTGTTACAACTCCTCTGTTCCTTCATTTCAGAGTGCTGAGTTTATGGATCTTAAGACACTCAGCACATAAAATCACAGATTTTCTTTTATTCAAGTCAGAGATTTACAATGAAATCTTGAGATTAAATTTTAATATCTCAGTTACAACCCGAGTTCCTTGTGGCAGAAATTCTTGGGAAAATATAAAAATAGGACAAATAGAATTTATTTATTACTTCCAAAGCAATGACACTCCTTAGAGGCTGTTAAATATACATGAGGCCAGAACATATTAAACAAGGACTGTGCTTAGAAAACAACTGTCAAGAGGAAAGTAAATGTTCAGTATCATGATTTGTGGATATTTAACTGGATAAAACACAAATTATGGAAACAGCAAACCCAGGTCAGGAATAAACGTGAGGGTAATTTGTATTAAAGCAAAAACAGCAACTAAAACAAAGTGCTTTTGCATGCATACCTTCGTGCAGTGTGACCCATGCACCAAAATGAGATATTTTCTTCTCACATATAATTATAACAAATAGAAGAGCTGAGTGCTGGTTTTGCAGCCTTTGCATTTCCAGTCTAATCAATCAAGCCAAGGAATTACTTGAAGGTTCACAAGGGTTTAGTACAATGAAGTTATTTTATGGTTTAACTCACAGAGAGATAAGCCTGTCTTTACAGTTTTAACTTGTTAATTAGCCCTGTCTACTTCTTTCCCCAAAAAAGGAATGTGCACTAAGAGCCTGATCCTGCAAGCTGCTGATTATGTGGAATTGCAGGTGCTGAGCACCTCAGGGTTGAACCATGGTTGTTCTGCAGGCCTAGGTCACACAAAAGGGGACAAAAACACAGCCTGCCAAACTCCAGGCTTTTCCTTGAGGAAGACACTGAAGGTTAGAGAGTGTGTCAGGCACTAACTACCCAGTTTCTGGCTGAAATACAAAAAGTGCTCCCGGAGATGTTTGGGCTCCAAATGAGGTGATAATATTTAGTCTCAGCTGGGAAGTTGGAGGAGCAAAAAACAAATTTAATAGAAGGTTATAACAGCAACCTCAGTAAAGGGCATGAATTATGTGGGTTCACTCTTGTGTAAAAATCCTGGATGGGGAATGGGAAGAGAAGGGGTTTGGAGCTACAGACTGAAGTGGGCAGAGGGGGGAATTTCTGCACTGTAAACTGTATCCAAACAATGACTATAACAAAGCCACTCTAAGATTATTTAATCTTAACTAAGATTATTTCACATTTTTTCCCCCTGAAAAATTATTAATTTTGCTAATTGTAAGGGTTTTCTGAGAGACACCAATTCTGTTACTCTCCTCTTTCCTAACTCCACTCATCAGTAATTCTGTTTAAAGAGTTCTCTGCTCTAAGGATTATACATTTATGTTTGAATTACAGC